CGTCAGTCAATACAACTTCTACATCACAAAGAACACGTTGTTACAAAGACGAGACTGAACACCCGAATGTACCTCCAGCTGTGATTGACATTCCATGTAGGTAAACAGCGGGATACATCATTGTGGAGACTACCTATGACGCTCCAGAAGATAATCCTGTGTATGGTGCTATATTAGAAATCTGTGAAATAGAAGTCTATGGTAATTGTCACCAATTTGTTTTCATAAATATTAATATGGGTCTGTCCGTCCTTCTGTTCGTTTGTCTGTCTACCCATTCCGTCTGTGTCTAACACTTTCATATCCGAATTCTACCTAAACGCCTCGGACTTTTGCAATGAAACTTTGTACCTCAACTTTTTTTGGAGTAAAAGCACCCCTTTTAATTTGAGGTTAATAATTTAAAAGTTTATATATTCTATCTTTGAGTAACACTTTCATTTCCGGACAACGTATCTCAAAAATGTCCTGAGGTTTTGCAACCACATTTTATATCACAACTTCCTTTGGTGTTTGAAAGGCCCCTTTACATGTAACATGTTGTTGCAGTGATACCCGAGTGCGTGTGTTTTTTTTTAAAATGAAATATTATTTGCAGGTTGCAGCGTAGGAAAATTTGGAGAGTTTTGCGAAAATTGTCATTGTTCAACTTGCGGTGTTATTGACGGTTCATGTCGTAAGTTAATAGAATTGAACTTATTTGTGTGAAATAAATATTGATTCGCTCTTAATGCCCCATATGAATAAAATGAAATTAACTTTTTAAAAGCTATAGCATGTAGTGCCAATTGTAAAGATAGAACATGTAATTCATCTTCTGGATATTGCACCAATGGATGCAAGGAATCTTATAATGGACCCAAATGTGGGGATCCTTGTAGTTCGCAATGTAATCCCCAGAGCTGTGATGGAGTAAGTGGTGTGTGCACTGGATGTAAGAATGGCTTCTACGGTCTATTTTGTAATCAGACGTGCAGTCCATTTTGTAGATTTAACACTTGCGATATCCATACTGGAGAATGTTATCATGGATGTAAATCAAACTGGACAGGAAACTTTTGCATGAGTATAGTGGGAATTTACGTTTATGTACGGAAAAACTGCATCGATGAAATAATAAAATCATGTACTAATGCTATTCGAGAAAATATGTTGAGCGTCATTTCAAAAGTTACCAAATTAACCGGTTATGTTTTTGTTTTTCAATTTTTTTTTTCAGTTTTATTTTATTCATTTTTAGCTCTACTGGTCAGAGAACAGAAGAGCTTATGCGATAGTAATGCGTCCGTCGTCCGTCCGTCTGTCTGTCTGTCTGTCTGTCTGTCCGTCTGTAAACAATTTTTCAAAATGCTACTCCTCCTACAGTTTTGGTCTGATTTCAATATAACTTGGCACACAAGTAGACTACACTAAGATACATAATTCTGTGTATCGGTTTTTGATTTCGATGAACGGTGTTGCCATGGTTATTAAAAATAGAAATTTCTGTGAAATTCTTTCAAAATGCTACTCCTCCTACAGTTTTGGTCTGATTTCAATATACATGTAACTTGGCACACAAGTAGACTACACAAAGATACATAATTCTGTGTATCGATTTTTGATTTCGATGAACGGTGTTGACGTTGTTACTAAAAATAGAAATTTCTGTGAAATTCTTTCAAAATGCTGCTACTCCTACAGTTTTGGTCTGATTTCAATATAACTTGGCACACAAGTAGACTACACTAAGGTACATTAATCTGTTTATCGGTTTTTGATTTCAATGAACGGTGTTGACGTGGTTACTGAAAATAGAAATTTCTGTGAAATTCTTTAAAAATGCTACTCCTCCTACAGTTTTGGTCTGATTTCAATATAACATGGCACACAAGTAGACTACACTAAGATACATAATTCTGTGTATCAGTTTTTCACTTCAATGAACGGTGTTGCCACAGTTACTAAAAATAGAAATTTCTGTTAAATACTCTCAAATGCTACTCCAAATACAGTTTTAGTGTGATTATAATATAATGTGGCATGCAAGTAGACTACACTAAGAACATAAAGAGACTTAATCAAGGATCATTATTCTATTTATTGCTGTAGAAAAGTTTCAATTCCCAACTGCTTAAGTACTTTTCTCTTCCTTTGCTATAAGTACAAACCAGTAGAGCTTCAGTCTCGACAGAGACTTCTGGTTATATTAAGTGAGCGTTCCAACCAACCTTAACATTTCAAACTGAAATGTATTTAAAAAATATGATTATGAATCTTCATAACTACCAGAATGGAATTATTCACACTTTGGCCGTGACTGTTCTGAGAAATGTAGCATTAACTGCAAATAATGTCACAGGAGTTTGCACCAAAGGATGTGAAACCGGCTTCTTCAGTGAGACCTGCAATAACAATTGTAACACTGATTGTTATAATGGATGTAACAGAGTTACAGGCTATTGTGATAATGGCTGCATCATTGGAAAGTTTGGAGCGGAATGTCACAAAAATTGTGGATTTGGCTGTTTCTCAAAGATCTGCACACGTATGAATGGAAGCTGCAGTTGCAAAAAGGGATGGAAAGGGGATAAATGTACAGGTAAAAATAGTTGTTAAATGACTGCAAATTATAAATAACCAAACAAAAAAAAATCAAAATGTTAGTAAATTAAGATGAAAATTTTTCATTTGTCAGAATGAAGTAAAAATTATCTATCTATCTCATTCATATAATTAAATTCATATCATTCTTGTTCAAGAATGTCCTTTATGTATATTTCAGATCTAGATATCAGTGGCACATTGGATCCTACTTCAGTTGGTCTTGGAGCAGGTGTTGGATCTTCTGTAGTTATTCTTGTTTTTGGTACAGCCTTCGTTATTGTAATATATATCAGGTAATGCCTGGAATAGTTTGTAGAGGAGGAACTAATCGTATAGATCAAACGTTACATGTGTATCTCCTGAAAGGTCAGAGTTTATTACGACAATTAAAAAGACATAGTTATTTTCCTGGTCACTTGCCACGCAAGTAGATGTTTTACGAGTAAACTGAAATGGATGTCATAAAAATTAAAGTTTTCTTTACATTTTGTGCAAAGCATCAAATTTCGCAGTAAAAATGATTTTACAAGAAAGGTTAAGTTACTTGTAGCTACTAGTCACTGGCTAGTAGAAACTTAAAACGACAGTTGGGTAAAGTTAGTTACTAGTAATTGTAACTGCTACTACACTGTAATGGCTTCTAGTACATGTACTTGGTTAGAAGTGGATGGCTACGTGTGGGCAAAGTTAGCTATTACATGTAGTAACTTGCATTAAATCTTAATATTTACATTCGCTGTGTTTTTCTACTAAGCTAACTGTGAAATTGATTTTAAAACCATTGATGTTTATACTCACGCGTAGAAATATACACGGAGAAACGTGCGTTAACGTGACGTCACAATGTGGCTACAGCGACGTTAGTAAAAGTATAACGATATAGGGCAGCAAGAAATTCAAATAATGAGTATATTTTTGGTGCTTCAAAACATATAAAATGTAAATATAGGGAATGCTTTTAAGCTTCATGAAATATGCCTACGTGACAAGTCTGTGTGATTCACACACCAATAACTCACACAAAACTTAAAAACATTCCTTAAATAAAGCTATTATAATTAGTAACTGGTTTCGACGTGTGAGTAATACTACCAGAACACCTCTAACTGGTCAAAGTAGTAGCCAGTAACTGGAAGCTTACTTTACATACTTGTCGTAATTACTTCAAAGAAGGTAATTGCTAATAGATACTCCATCCAACTTCTTTTAGACAGTTAATTGTAGCCATAAACTACTATTTAACTTTACATATCTGCTAAACACACTTTGTCAGATTTTATACGAATCGGTTTCACATACCTGAATACCCGAATCTGTCGTGTAAAATACTCATTCATTTTATGATATTTAATTTATTAAATTCTGTTAATTCCATTAACTTACATGTATCTTGCAACTTCCAATAATTTTCATTGATTTTGTTTTTTTTTTTGTTTTTTCGTATTATTTATCTCTTCTTCTTTCTAGAACTAAGAGGAGAAAAAGAACTGCTTACAAAAACCAGAACATACAGTTAAACGGTAATGTAAAAATTATATCGTTATCCTTTTATTCACAAAAACATTATATTAAATACATTATACTTTAGGACAATGTACATTGAAAAAATTTAACATTATGTTTGTTTGTTTATTGTTAAACATCTCTCAAAAGAATTTATTAACTCATATGTTGACGCCACTACTTGCTAGTGGAGAAATACAACTTTTGACCAATACTTGGCTCTTATGGCCATTGAGCATTAATAGATCTGTTTTGTTCAAGCACCTACTTCGACATAGGCATAGATTTACACAATCTCATCCAAAAGCCCGGTCTTCATGTACAGTCCATGAAACGTTCTACTTTCCCACCTGAACGCTGAACGAACGGTGAACGAACGTAGAACGAACGGTGAGTGAACGATGTGCGAACGCTGAACGCAACTTGGTGAACGATGTGTGAACGGTGAACGCAGAACGCGAACGGAGCGCGAACGCGAGCGCAAAGTGAACGGTGAACGAACGGTGAACGCAAAATTAATGATTTATTCGAAATGCCTCCGATATTTTCCTTGCATTGAAATTATTCTATAATTCTAACTTCAGTTGCTTTAATATAAATACGCAGGAGATAAATAAATAAATAAAAGCATCTTTTTTGTACATATATGCACCTATGATTTAAATCGATAGTTTCATAACACTTTTAATTGCCGTAAAACATGTGTATTTGTTACCGAACGCGTGTAATTTGAATATAAAATGA